AGGGGCCCCTGGAAGCAGCCGAAACAGCAGCAGCAGCAGCAGCAGCAGCAGCAGCAGCAACAGCAGCAGATAGAGCGGCGCCTGGGGGCTGCAAGGACTCGCAGGGGCCTCGCTGGTGCAAAGCGCTGAAGCTGGATGGAGTTAATGGCGTCTGCAGCAGCAGCAGCAGCAGCAGCAATGGCAGCAGCAGCAGCAGCAGCAGCCTGCTGCCTCCGGCGCTCGATGACGGCTGCTTTGGGGCCGTGTTGCTGCTGCTGCTGCTAGCAGCAGCAGACATGACTCAGAGGCTTCTTGGGAAACTTGGAATCCCCTTCGGGCCTCTGCTGCGGCGAATCTGGCGGAGCAGCAGCAGCAGCAGCAGCAGCAGCAGCAGCAGCGAGTTTGCTGCAGCTGCGGAGACGGAGGAGGGTAAAAAGCTGCTTGCGGAGTTGGTTTCGCTGCAGCAGCAGCTGCAGCAGCAGCAGCAGCAGCAGCAGCAGCTGTCGGCCACCGCAGAGTTCGCTGCCTACACCCGGCAGCAGCGCAAGATTGATCAGCTGCTGCAGGCGAGGGAGGCGTGCATGGAGAAGCTGCAGCAGCTGCAGCAGCAGCAGCAGCAGCCGCAGCAGCAGCAGCAGAGCAGCAGCAGCAAAGGCCTCCTGCTGCTGCTGCGGGCTGCGTACCAGGTGCTTCTCAAGCCCATACTGAAGCTCTACGGCGGCGCCGTTATCAAGGTAAGAAGCAGCAGCAGCAGCAGCAGCAGCAGCAGCAGCGAGTTTAGCAGCAGCAGCAGCGCCCGCAGCAGCAGCACCCAGCACAGCAGCATCACGGAAGGCGGCAGCAGCAACAGCAGCACCAGGAAGAGCAGAACCCGCTGCTGCAGCAGCAGGGGCAGATGCTGCTGCTGTAGCTGCTGCTGCTGCACTTGTTGCAGCAGCAGCAGCAGCAGCAGCAAATGCATGCAGTGTGCGCTTTGCTGCTGCTTCAGGCACTCTTTTGCTTCTTCGTTTTTGTGTTTGCTGCTGTTCGCGTTGAGCTGCCAACAGCTCAGCTGGCCCCCCTAAACTGTAACCCTAAACCCTAAACCCTAAACCCTAAACCCTAAACCCTAAGCCCTCAGCAGCACGCCGCAGAGACGGCCAGACCCGCGTGGCCTTTTCTGCTGCTCACTGGCGCCCGCTGCTCGCCATTTGGCGGCGAGGGTTTAGGGTTTAGGGTTTAGGGTTTAGGGTTTAGGGTTTGCGTGCAGTTTTGGGGCCAAAATACAAAATCGAATTTCCCCTCGCGCTGCTGCTGTGTCGGCTCTTCCTGGACGAGGTGTACAGACACCTCCCGGCCCTCAGCAGCAGCAGCGCCGCAACTGCAAAGACAGACTAAGCAGCAGCAGCTGCTGCTGCAGCAGCAGCTGCTGCTGCTGCTGCTGCAGCAGCAGCTGCTGCAGCAGCAGCAGTTGCTGCTGCTGTTGAGGGCCTTTCAGTCCCTCCTTTATCGACGGCGCCAGTTCGGGACGCCGCTGATTCTGAGGCTTCGATGGCCCTAAACTCCAAACCCTAAACCCTAAACCCTAAACCCTAGCCTAAACCCCAATGCCATAGTTCGACTCTAACTCTGGGATGGAGAAGTGTCGAGTTAGTGAATAGGGCGCGCACAGAGGTAGCGAAATATATTCGGACAGCAGCAGCAGCAGCAACAGCAGCACAGCAGCAGCAGCAGCAGCGGCACAGCAGCAGCAGCACACGAGCAGCAGCAGCAGCAGCAGAAAGGGCAAAGGCTATTTATTTATCGCTGATGCTGGCTCTGGTGCTGCTGCCGGGCAGGTCGTGTGCTGCTGTCGAGCTGCTGCTGCTGCTGCAGCTTCTGCTGCACCTGCAGCTGCTGCAGCAGCTGCCCTGCGCCTCGTAGAGTCTACTGCTTTTGCTGCTGCTGCTGCTGCTGCTGCTGCTGCTGTGCGCTCGGGTTTACGGCAATGTGTAATTTGGAATTTATTTGAATTTGAATTTTAAATTTAATTTTAAATTTAATTTTGAATTTAATTTAAATGTCTACACTTGAAGAGGCGCTGTGTGCGTCTGGTGGCTGCGCTGGGTGCTCGCGGCGGCTGCGCTGCTGCAGCAGGGCTGCGGTGCATGCGCGAGGGAAGGTTTTTCGCAAAACAAATAAATAAAATGAAATAAAAGAATAAAAAGAATAAAAAGAATAAAAGTGAAATAAAAAAGGAAAGAAGTGAAGCGCGGGAGTTGTCAAGAAGCTGGACAGACACCGCAGGCGGCGTTAGCCACCGAGACACTCGGGGAGCGGCGCGCGCTGCTGCGCTGCTGCTGCTGCTGCTGCTGCTGCTCTTTTTCGGCCCTTTTGCTGCGGAATCTTCGGGAATAAACAGCAAAATGAGTTTAAAAGTGGAAAAGAGATGCATTTGGGACGAAAAAGCGGAAAAAGAGCAGCAGCGGGGCCTCCTGGGGGCCGCAGCAGCTGCTGCTCGGGCCGGCCCCGCAGCAGCGCCGCTGTGGGGCCAGCCCCGAGGCTCGCGGGGTTTGGAGTTCTTTTGCTCTCCAAACCGCGAATCCCAAACCCTAAACCCTAAACCCTAAACCCTAAACCCTAAACCCTCCCCCGCAAGCCCTTCCCGTCCGTACAATGCTGCCCGCCACCGCTGCCGCCGCCCGCAGCAGCCGGAAGGCTGCTGCTGCTGCTGCTTCCTCTTTCGCGCAGCTGCAGCAAATCCGCTGCGCCTCCAAAGACATTCGGTTTGGCTCTGAGGCCCGCATGCAGATGCTCGCAGGTGCGCTGCTGCTGCTGCTGCTGCTGCTGCCTTGCTTCTGCTGCTGCTGCTGCTGCCTTTGCTGCTGCTGCTGCTGCTGCTGCCGCCTTGCTGCTGCTGCTGCCGCCTTGCTGCTGCTGCTGCTGCTGTCCCTCCGGCGTTTCGCACAGCCTCTTCTGCGCCTCCCCGCCGCGCTGACCGCCCCCCGCTGCCGCTGCTGCTGCTGCTGCTGCTGCTGCTGCTGCTGCTGCTGCAGGGTGCAACAGGCTGGCGGACGCAGTGGGGGTGACTCTGGGCCCGAAGGGGCGCAACGTGCTGCTGCAGCAGCCCTTCGGGGCCCCCAAAATAACCAAAGACGGAGTGACTGTGGCGAAGGCCATCGAGCTGCAGCAAAAGGCCGAAAACGCCGGCGCGCTGCTGCTGCGGCAAGTTGCTGCAGCAGCAAACGACGCAGCAGGCGACGGCACCACAACAGCAACAGTGCTGGGCCGCGCCATTTTCAAGGAAAGCTGCAAGGCCATCGACGCAGGAATGAACCCCATGGACATCCTCAGGGGCAAGCCCTGCTGCTGCTGCTGCTGCTGCTGCTGCTGCTGCGGTGCTGCGGTGCTGCTGCTGCTGCTGCTGCTGCTGCGGTGGTGGTGGTGGTGCTGCTGCTGCAGCAGCAGCAGAACTGCCGCTGCTGCAGCAGCAGAACTGCCGCTGCTGCAGCGGCAGAACTGCCGCTGTTGCTGCAGCAGAACAGCCGCTGCTGCAGCAGCAGAACTGCTGCTGCTGCTTCTGCTGCTGCTGCTCAGGGATAAAGCTGGCAGTGTCGGAAGTGCTGCGGCGGCTCTCTGCTGCTCGGAAGGAAGTATCAACTCGGGAAGAAATAGTTGCTGTTGCAGCAATCAGCAGCAACGGAGACAAAGAAGTTGGAGAATTAATTGCTGCAGCAATTGAGAAAGTCGGAAGAGAAGGAAATATAACTGTTGCTGAAGGAAGAGGACTGCAGCACGAGCTCGAAGTTGTCGAGGGTTTGAGGTTTGAGCGAGGGTTTTTGAGTCCTTTTTTTGTTTCCGACAATCAGCAGCAAAAAGCGGTTTTGCAAAACCCCTTTTTGCTGCTGCTCGACAAAAAGCTGCAGCAGCTGCAGCTGCTGCTGCCCGCTCTCGAGTTCGTGCTGCAGAAGCAGGCAGCGCTTCTCATTGTTGCGGAAGACGTCGACAGGCAAACCCTAAACCCTAAACCCTAAACCCTAAACCCTAGCTCGCTCCGGGCTCCTCCTGCTGCTGCTGCTGGTGGTGGTGCTGCAGCGGCTCTGCTGCTGCTGCTGCTGCTGGAGCGGCGCCCACGCCGCCGCTGCTGCTGCTGGTGACGCGCTGCTGCTGCTGCTGCTGCTGCTGCTGCTGCTGCTGCTGCTGCTGCTGCTGCTGCAGCGAGGCGCTGGCGACTTTGGTGGTGAATAAGCTGCGTTTGGGCCTGAGGGTTTGCGCGGTGAAGTCCCCAGGGTTTGGAGACAGCCGCAAGGCGCAGCTCTACGACTTGGCCACTCTCACTGGCGCCAAGGTCCTCCAAACCCTAAACCCTAAACCCTAAACCCTAAACCCTAGGCCCTAGGGTTTGGCGGTGGCCAGGGCGGCCTGGAGCCGCTGGGGCTGTTGCGAGGGGGGAGCGAGGCCGGTCGAGGGCTGCGCGCTTTCTTCTCTCTTGGGGTTTAGGGTTTAGGGTTTAGGGTTTAGGGTTTAGGGTTTAGGGTTTAGGGTTTAGGGTTTGGGGTTTGTTTTGAGGACTGCGTTAGGTCGTGGGCGACGACTTGCCGTGCGTTGGAGACGAGAAGTTGGACATCGTTTCCATGCTGGGCAAAGTGAGCACTTCAGGGTTTAGGGTTTAGGGTTTAGGGTTTAGGGTTTAGGGTTTAGGGTTAGGGGCCTGGATCTTCCGCTGCGGGGTTCCCGCGATTGCTTCCGAGTCTCCAGGGTCTCGGGTTCCCTCTCAAGGGTTAAGCTCCTCAAATTCTAGGTCTAGGGTTTAGGGTTTAGGGTTTAGGGTTTAGGGTTTAGGGTTTAGGGTTTAGGGTTTAGGGTTTGGGATCAGGCGAAGATTGTGGAGGTGACGAAAGACTCGACTCTGGTGATGGAAGGCGCGGGCAGCAAAGAGGAAATTGAGGCGAGAGCTGCCCAGATCCGAACCGCCATGGAGCAAACCAAATCAGGTCCCCAAACCCTAAACCCTAAACCCTAAACCCTAAACCCCAAACCCCAAACCCCAAACCCTCCCCGGA